GTAGGTTTGTCCTGGCATTTGTTGTTGGAACTTCTGATGTATCTGGTTTAGATCCTCCATCAGCCAGTTCTTCGTTACTCTACTGTCCTATAGATATCTGTTTTCCTTACAGACATTGAAGTGTAGAGATAGTGTTTTCTCTGTTTTTCAGATAAGCAACCAGAACACAAAGGAAACCCTGGTGTTAGACATAACTCTGTGATAGAGCAAGAAACTGTATTAATTTCTCTTGAACTTTAAAGTTCATGGTGTACATACTGAATTGTTCTTCTGACCAAAAGGAGAGGTAGGCGAGAAGATGACATTTGCAATATAGTTTGCAGAAAACTAAGTGGGAAGTACACACAGATCCATTCTTCTTTGATTCTGTAATGTGCATCTCAGTTGTATCTTTGTTTTTTCAACAATTTAACAGAAGTCTAAACCAACAGATCTTCCATATGGATTTTCCTAAAGGCTTTCTTTTTGTTTCACTAGCTAAGTAATCCATGAGTCATTTGAAATCTCTTCATTGTTGTCTTCTAGGATTTTCAGTTAATAGGGCTTGTATAGTATGGCTCATTTGGCTAGAACGGAGCTAGAGTTAATCTTGAAGATGAAAAAGTAGAGGAAATCTGATGAACATGTGTGTTAAGTGTTCCAACCATTCTCTTTCCAGTGCATCTCTTAAATTCATTAAAAATAAAAGAAAACAGGGAAGGAAGCATTTGCAGTTGAGAAAATCTCAACTTTGAGTATTAAATTTGACTTGGGAATGCAAGTTTCATCTCTCTAAAAATTTTCATTAACATTTTATAAACATTTTAATATTTCTTATATATATTTTAATATATGCTTGTAGATATAATCTGGAAAAACAGCTAACAATGAGTAATACTGAGTCATAGGTGTGAGTCATCAGTGGAGAGCTGTATAATGATAGTGAAGTTTAGACAGGCAGACATTTGGTTCATGTCTCTTTTGGTATCTGTTAAATTTCTACCTTCTTTTTCAATATTTCTGTTGGAAGATGTCCAGACTTAGTGTTTAGGTACAGTTCCAAATTATGTTAGGCATAGATTTATGTTAGCTCAAATCTAAAAAAAGTTATATTTTTAAGGACAAGACATCAATTTCCTCAGAGTTCAGGGGCTTTGGAAGTTTTGTTTCATCAGGATACATTTCTGTAACACTTGGAAGTTTTCCCAACTATCATTTGAGCTTGCAGTATTAAAACAAGCTAAAAATACATGATTCTGTGTTGTAATATCATTTATGATTTTGATGAACATACTGTTGTTACAGTGACAAGTGATTTTTCCTTAAAGAAAAAAAAAAAGAATAGCACATATGTCAGCAGATGTACACGCTTTCAAAGAAGTTATTACCCAGCCGCAAGGCCTGACAGACACAGGTGGTGTGATGTCTGTATCAGTACATGAGTAATCCAGGATCTGATGATCCTACCACTCTGGAATGGCCAATCACCTGAATACTGGAAGATGTGTTTCTTGTGAGTCCTCCACTGAGTTTTTTCCTACTAAGAAGCCTCCATACCATTTGTAGCCTATAGTGCACAGGTGGATAAGCAGCAGCAGGAATCAGCCTGTGGACAGCTTGCTGTATCCCCTGGAATGTCTCACAGAAAAGCCAAAAAGCGCACTAACTGCATCCAGATCACTCAGAAATGGAGGTCAGGCCCATCTTTAACAAATCAGACTTTAAACTTCTTGCTCTGGTTTATGGAATTTTGCTGCTGTGCTACCACTGCAAATAAACTATGCTATAAAAGGATGTTTTACTCTTGTTATCAGGTATATGTATATCCTCTTTCCATAACACCTTGAAATATCTTTTAATGAATTTTTAGTGAGGAAAGAGAATATATTTATCCTAATAAACAGAGATGGTTCATTTGTGGGGTTTGTTTTGTTGTTTTTGTTTTTGTTTTGTTTTGTTTTGTTTTTTCCCCTTCTTAACACTTTTGACACAGCCCAAGTTTGGTTTTTAACACAAAAAATCTCTTTGTGAGCAGAAGAACGTAAAGGGCTCCTCCTCTGCTGAATTTGGCACAAAAAGCATTTTGTACTTTTTCTTAATATATTATTGAAATAGGCATGCACTGAGATCCCAGAATTCATCCTTCTCAACCCTGTCTGTAGCCCAGTAGTGCAATTACAGGGAATTCTGTTCTAGCTGTGTGCTACAAAATGTTAATTCTTTACATATGCAGAGTCAGGAACTTGGAATTTATATCTCAAGTAAAAAAGTTGTGATGACCTGTTTCTCAGGACTATAGCAGATTTGGAAAACCAGTTATTTTGGATGGTACTTTCCTTGATTTATGTCCTTGAACTATGTCTTCTTGTATGTAAATGTCTCAAAGAGTAGCTGAGATTCCTGGGAACCCACAAGACTGGGTTATAGTAAAAAAGATTTGGGAGTCTAAATGAATTTTTCCATAGATCCTCAGATCTTTTGTCTTTTGCCAATCCAGGTCTTCCTGTTTAGGCATAGTGTACCTGTATGGATATGCATTAGCCTGTTCTCTCAGGTTGGAATTGGATTTTTTTTCCCCCCCTTGAGATAACTAATTTGCACTAGATAATAAAAGATTTTTGACTATATAGTTTTTTTCTAATTTGTCTCAAAATACTTTAGCTACTTTAACATACTCTTTTTGTTACAACTTTGTTCTTTTCTTGTAGTACTTTTTATAAGTCATGAGATTTAGAAGAGGAAGTTTCAATCTGGAACTTTTTATCTTTGAAATGGCTTATCCTCGTTTGGCTTCCTGTCTGTACTTTTTTCATACGTTATCCAGTTGCTTCCACTGTCCCTCCTGCAGTGTCACTCTCCAGTGGTCCCATTGTATTAATCCTGGAACTGCCTCTTCACAGTAAATTGGATCATCTTTAAGGTTCAGAGAATTATTTCAGGATGTTATTACTGGGCAAGCCACTGACCTGATATTCTTTCCTCAAAGAGAATGGACTAGGTTCTGTTTCCATCATACATACTTGTTCTGCATGATTTCAGTACATCTGGCTGAAGTCAGTATTATAGTCTTTGCTTTAATTTCATTTCTGTCAAACATCTCCAGCAAATTAGGTTTAGCACTGTCCATCCTATTCCCCTTAGAATTTTAATTAGCTCCGTGCTGAATACCTAGTGCCATGCAATTGTATGTATTTGATTTCTACATAATTATTTGTCAAAACTAAATTGCTATGATTCCATTAACTTTCATAATGCGTTGCTGTATATGTGCAGGAGAAGTGACATTATGGGGGATCAAATCCATTCAGATGTCACTATAAAATACATAAGTTCTCAACTTTAGGCTGTGAGTGTGGTCTGTGTGTCATAGGCTTATGCAAACTCATTTTTTGACTGGTAGAGAGGGAAGAAAAACAAGGTAAATATGAACCCTTCTTTACTTGACAACTCTTAGGACCTAATCCACGCATATCATTCTGTGCCCACTATGCTTGGCGGTGCCAAAGACATAGAAATCTGCTTCATGACCACAGCTGAAAGTTCTCATCTCACATGGAAAGCTGGATGTGTGAAAGCAAAGTTGCTGCCTCTGGCTTTGTAGCATGTGCCCTCTGACTTAAGTGACATCCTGGGTGGCACTGGGAAATGGGTGGGCAGAGGGTGGGCACACAGTGCTCATGGCAGCCTCCTGCAGGCACCAGCCCCTTGGGGACTGTTCTGCCTCACGTGGCTTGGAGGAGACCTCAGGCTGTGGGCCACCTGTCAAGGTGTACATGCTTAGCCAGGGATTTGGGTTCTCACTTTTCTCTCTTGCTGTCCAGTCCCTACGAATTTCAGCAGTGACTCCCCTGGGTGAGGAGTATGAGACAACAGAGCCTAGTGGGGAGGAATGAACACGGTAAAATGGGGCTATAGAGCAGAAATCGCTGCACAGGCAGTCCTCAGTTGTCTCAGCCTGGTTGTCTTGGACGTGAGAGCAGTTACATGTTCCCAGTTGTTTGAATAATGCTGATATACTGGGCAGGGCACCTTCAGCCCTGTTTGTTAAAGGAGGTTTTATTCCAGTGAAAAAAAAAGGAGTATAGAGTAGAAGTCCTCCCACCAACTGTCTGTCTGAGGGAGGGCTTCTTGGTGAAGAAGGGATAGGTGCCTTACATGTGTCTGAGTTCTCTTCCAAATGTGAAAGAAAAAATTGTAAATATGGAAAGACTGTATGGTGAAATTTGATCCTATATAGAACAAATGAGGCTTCATCCAAAGTGATTTAATTTTGGATGTAACTTGCTTTGAGTTTCACTAACATTTTGCTATACTAACATTTGACTTGTGCATTCTTTTTGTACTAGATATTGCTGATACAGGTGCATGGCACAGATGACATTTTTCACTGTAGGTTTTTCAGGAATATGAAACAATTTCTTCAAATTGCCCACATTTGAAATATTCATGGATTTGTGTGTATGACATACTGATGGCAAAGTACTGACTTTATTCATTCATTATTGATCCCTCTGAAAAATGAACGGGAGGAGTTTATCAAGTATGAATTCCAGTGGAGGTCCATTGGGAGTCTTCCAGATCTCAGGCCAAATTGTTCTCTTATGCAATGCCAGGATCTGAAGTCAGCTCTTCATTTTCTGCACAGCCGAAGAGGTGATTTTAGTACTTGCTGATGAGCCTTTGCTCTGCTTAGCTCTTTTTTTCCCACCTTGTGGGTGGTGATGGAAAGGCATACGTGTTGGGCGTCAGTCACTGCACGGTGCAGTGACAGAATGAAAACTAGCACTGCACAGAACTAGCCATGTTTTTTCAAACCTAGAAAAATATTCTTAATAGTGTGGGTTTCTTTTAGTAGCTAATGAGCACTGAAAAGAACAAAAGGATGGCAGAGAAGCATTGAAAATGAATAGTTAGTGCTACAAAGTGGGTTTTTTTGTTTTTGTTTTTTTTTTTTTTTTCTTCAGAATTTCAATGCTGAAGTCTTTAGCAGAGAGCACTTACAGATGTTTGATTTCTTTCAGGTCCTCAGATTTTGGGACGTTATACACAAAGTTGAATCTACAGCCTGGGATTGCCACTGTTATTGACAATTTCTACATTTGTCCCACCAACAAAAAAAAGGTATGTGGCAAAAAAAAAAAAAAATGTCTTTTATAGTGCAGCTGAGATTCTGCAACTATGTGGTGTGTTTTACAGGTTTTCAAAATACAGGGAAGTGGTTTTCACAAAGCTGCAGGTCACCTTAGGTGCATTTGTAACATATGGAAGCGGGATATTTATTCCTCCTGAATAATATAGAAAGGAAAAAATGCCTTAATGGATTCTGAAAAGTTTTGAGGCCATTGACTCCTGACAATTGAGCTTCAATGGAGTTTTCCACAGAAATGGAAAAGGAACTCCTGTAGGTTTTCACACATCTGTACAAATTCTGGGACTAACACTCAACCTCTTCATCCTTTATTCAAGATTTCAAAGTCCTTTTCACGTTCCTTAAAATATAGCATAGGGATTGGGCAGGCTGTCATTGAGAATGATGTTTATCCCATGTAAAGCCTTAATTAAAAAATAAAAAACCCTCTCCTTGAAACTCTCTTAAAAAACGTTCCTGCATCATTACTGAACCAAAAAGCTTTTCATGGAACCTAGGAAGATTAAGTGAACTTTATAAGCAAGAGTGAAATTGACCCATTGAGTGTATTTACAATGGATGTTATATTAGAAGCAACAGGCAGAGTGATTATGAGCAAAAAAAAAAAAACATAATAGCAACCATTCTATGTCTGCAAAATACCTGGGATTTAAACAGCAAGAATTGTGAAATACATTGTGAATAACACAAGCACAGTAGGTCTTTCATGAAATAAGAATTTTCTCTTGATAAGGGCCTTTTACCTCCAGTGTAATACAAAAGCATTGATTTCACGTAGAGGCCACTGATTGGAAGGACAATGTTAGTTGTGTTTATCTGTCTGCTCTGCTTAATCAAAAATCAGTGGAACTCGGCGAGGCTACCTAAATGATTAAGTACATATTTTATTTCTGTTGCACTTGTCACTGGAGTTTTTGTGCCCAAGATATGCTATGCCTGATTTTTGTAATGTATTCCTAATCTGCTGCAAAATCAGAAATTATTTTTTTGTTTCTTGAAGTGAAACTACCATCAAGCACAAAGTTTCTGCAGATTGTGTGTCTCAGAGATAAGATCTACTGGCTATTTCAAGTCCAAAAGAATAAAACCAAAAATCTTTACCCATCTCAGTTTCTGCAATAAAGGCTAAAAGTGTGAGATGGATGAGAGAGCCCTGTGGAGGACTTTTCTTAGCTCACCCAGCTACAATATAAAAGCCTGCACAAGCACAGACAGTCAGTCACAATGTGGTTGCACCAGTTTGGCAAAATAAACAATGGTAAGATCGCTGCTGATTATCAAGCCTGAAGAACACAGCAATGTTCACAAAAAAATCTCATGTTAACCCTATCTTAGAAAAATATGTAATCTGCTCAAGAATAGTTGAAGTTCTTAGAGATACAAGCCCTGCTTAATTAGCTAATACGATATTAGAATCCATCTTTTACAAAAAGTCCCTTTGAGTTGTTAAATACGCTATTTTTATGCTGAGATTTGCTTCTGTGAAGATGTTCAGTAGTATACAAACAACAAAAACAGCAGAGCAGAAAGGATTTCTAGGTCCTGTAAATTATGCCAGAGTGAGTATTTATACATGGAAATGTACATACTTACATACATACATGATACAAAAATGGTGAAAGCATTTGGGTTAAATGCTGTAGTAAACAGCTTCAGACTGGTCTTGGAGGTGTTGCAGTCACATGTGGCAGGTAATAGAGAAGTTTCCATGTTGTAAGAACTTAGTCATAATGGAAACTTTTTCAGTAGTGGGCATTTGATTAGGACACTAACCAAGACTATCAGCTAATTTCATAAAAGTTATTTAGAAAGATGGAAGGACATGTTTCTCTATCCGTCCATTTCAACACAATTGCACTGGGGTGGAATAGAACATTTAGAGCTCTGACTCTTTTCTGAGCTGATCAAGGAGTCTCAGGGTTTCACTCGTTCCTGATGTTACCAGACTTCAGATCATTATGGTGTGGGTTTTCTTCAGTCAGTTCACATCTTATGAAAGGTGCTGAAAATGGAAACTGGAGTGCTGGCCATCCGTACTAGAACTGAGCATGCACTTTAAATTTAAAACATAAGTAATCCCATGCTACCACTTAGCATTTAGGGACTGAGAATATGCATGAAAGCAAAGACAAGACATTGATGGGGATTTTGCGAATACTTTGCATATTAAGCATTGTTCTATGCTTTCATTCCCTTTACCCATTGTAGACCTCATCTGTGGAAGAACTGATACTGCAAATTTAATGCTCATTATTTCTACCTCAATGTCATCAGAGCATTAACCTCACCTGATTTTAGCTTTGTGGAATTTAGGTGTCTAGTCAGGCCCTCTCCCTCTACAGTCAAAAGAGAAATGTGGGTACCTCCAGGCAGTTTATCCTGTTAAAATTGTAGTTCTTTGTACTTACGAGAATAAGATTGAATGATCTTGTGGAGGTTCCTATAAATGACTTTCTGACTATTTTGGATCTGAACAGAGTCTCACCACAGCTTCCTACAGAGACTTAAAAAGAAATGTGCCGTGGTTTAACCCCAGCTATCAACTAAGCACCACACAGCTGCCCACTCCCCCCTGCAGCGGGATGGGGGGAAGAGCATTGGAACTGTAAAAGTGAGAAAACTTGCAGGTTGAGATAAGAACAGTTTAAGAATTGAAATAAAATGAATAATAATAATTAAAAATAATAATAATTTGTAATGGAAAGGAAAATAATAGAGGGAAATAAAACCTAAGAAAGACAGGTGGTGCAAATGAAAACAATTATCACCAGCCGACCAATGCCCACCCAGTGCCCTAGCAGTGACCCCTGCACCAACCTCCCCTCCCAGTTTTATTGCTGATGGTGACATCACATGGTCTGGAATATCCCTTTGGCCAATTGGGATCAGCTGTGTCCCCTTCCAGCTTCTTGTGCATCCCCAGCCTCCTTGCTGGTGGGATGGGGTGAGAATCAGAAAAGACCCTGACTCTACATAAGCTCTGCTCAGCAATAACAAAAACATCCCTGTATTATCAACACTGTTTTCAGCACAACTCCAAACATAGCTCTATATTATCAACTCTCAAAAAAATTAACTCTACGCAGCCAAAACCAGGAAAAGATGGAAGATTTTGTTTTGTTTTGTTTTGTTTTGTAATGCAATTAGATGAAATATTTGCTGGAAGGATGCAGTCTAGTTCTTGGAGTGACATTATTTCTTCAGTTAATCTCTGCTGGTATACCAGCTCCTGGAGTGACATAGAGTTTCACTCAACATGCCTTCACTCTGTGAGATGCAATTATACCATACAGACCAATGGATTTATAAATAGTACTAGAAATTTTCACTTCCTGTGAATTACTCTGGTTTGCATTTTCTTAAGATGCATTGAAAAGAAAAAAAAGTTGATACTTCTTATCCTCCCTATCCTGTTGTTCAAGGAGATAAAATTCAACAGAATTATAAAGCTGTTCATGCAAAAGTACGTTAGCAGATGCAGAAGGTACAATAGCATCATTTTCACATAGTGCTACATGGAAATGGGACTGTATCAAAAAGAAGAACAAAATTACAAGGTAAAATATAGGGAGGCTGGGGACCTTGAAGTAGCTCATGGAAGGATGGAAATCATTTATAAAACCATCTAAATCCATGCAAAGAAGTGGCACATTCCTTTTCTCTCTCACCCTCCCATGAGCAAGTTGTGATGAGTACTGTTTATAGGTCTAAGAGAAGAATCAAGAAGGAGTTGTATCAAGGTCATGCCTACACAATCTTTTGACGATTGAAGTACATTCACTCAGTCTGGGTCTTTTTCTGGCTGAACGCAGCAGAACTGATGCAGAAATTGTGTTGCTGTGGTTACCACAGAACTCTGGCTATGAAATCTAGTTTTGACAAGAATTGATGACAAACCTCTGACGGTAGAACTTTAGAGGGCTTTGTGCATCACTCTGAATGGGCTTTCTGATGAAATCATGGGATGGAAGCGTGAACCGTGGCTGTATTTTTTGTGATTCAGAGCTGAAACGCAGTCAGCCAGCAGCAGCACAAGTAGAAGACATTTACACCTACCTGCAAAAGACCATGTAAGTTCACCCTAAATGCTATGAAACAATAGAGTAGTAGGTGAGGTAACACTGTAATCAAGAGTTCATGCTTCCCAAGAATGCATTAATATTTGTTTTGCATTCTGGCTGTTTTTACTGTAGTACAAACCTGCAACTAAAGACACTGAAACTTACTCTGATATGTTTTTGGAAAGTTGTAGAGTAATGAAGGTGAGTTCTTCCATGGAAGCTCTGTGATTCTAACTTCTCCATCTGAAGCACTTTTTCATTGATCTGTGACAAAAAATAGCCTTACTCTATGCAGGCCTTGAAATGCTGTTCATTGATAAGGGATGTACCTGCACTTTAAACAACAGAAGTTATATAATCATCTCATTTTCAGTAATTACTCTAGGCCAATAGCACCAAATAGTGCAGGCACCACATAATGTACTATGTTGGGGTAACAATTTGATTTGTATCCTCTGTTTTCCAAAACAGCATTATAATTGTGATTTGGAAGTGATATACATGATTCATGGAGTATGGAATTATCTGGAGTCAGTTGAACAAAGTAAATTCTTTCTACAGTGTGAAGAATTCAGCTTCACTAAGCTAAATTATCAACAAAATATTTAACATTTTTATAGGGCATATATGCTGTTGGATGTAGAAATTACATATTTGCTTTAATTCTGTTTGTATAATGTTTCTGTAGAGGAGTTGAATGAACACACTGATTTTTTCCCACATTCAGCACATGTTTTAATTTTCATTGGTGCTAATGGAACTGATGCATCCATCCTTCTGTTTATATGTTTCTGGAAAAGCGGCAGCTAAACAGTGTATGCTCAAGCTTTTCATACTAAGAGAAAATAAATGTTGATTGTGCCTACACTGACGTATTAGTTAAATGGGTTGACCACTTACATTTCCCAGCT